ACCTGACCCCAAGCAGTCTGGCTCCAGAGCCATGGGCTCACTCCTATGCCAACCTGCTTCTTAAGGTCACTGGCATGGAATGAACTAGCTGGGTGTAGAATCTGGATGCTATCTTAGATGCAGGGGTGGGGGCAGAAATGGCAACCCACCCTTCCTAAGAGAAGTCTCCAGGCTTGTGCAGCTAGTGCCAGAGCCACAGCGGGGTCTCCAGCCACCTCCCGCCCTCCCTTCCCCTCTGGGGGAGTCCTAAGGCCCCAGATCCCTGCCCCCAACCTCTCAGTTCACAGCTAACTGGGCCACCTCATCCTAAAGGGATTTGACTTTCCGAGACAATTGGAGACGGGTGAGAAACGGCTTAGGGATTAGACAATGATACCCAGGAAGGTAAGGGACTTAATCAGGGGGGTTCAGGTGTGGGAAGTGGGGCGGGGAGAGGATTTGCGTCTTCACAAAGCCGGGGTGGACTGCGGAAGTGAGGAGGAAGTGGGGATCCTGGGGAGGAGCTGGACGGACTCGGTTTCTCACGTTCTGTTGTGCCTTCAGAAACAACACGTAATAGTAATAACAATCCTTCACATTGGTGTGCCCAATGCTTTTCGAGCCATTATTTCACACGGAATTCTCACAGTGGCCCTGGGAAAGAGGCAAGGATTATTTTTCTCCCCAGGTCACAGCCCCCCAGAGAAGGAAGGCGACCTGAGGCAGCTGCGGCCTCACATGGCAGGGCTAGGAGGTGGGGAGGAGGCGTGAGGCAGGGCCTCTCTGCTGGCTGCTTGTGGGCACAAGGGCTTTCCAGAGAGCTCCTGCTGCCTTGGCCCCCTGGAAGTAGAGTGTCCCACAATTATTTGTTGAAGGGTTTATAAGCCCGTTCTTTCCAACTCTCAAATCACTGTACCAATCTCTGTGCCACCGTTGTCTCACTGGAACCACAAAACCTGAGGTCAGGGCACCCAGGGGACCTCTGATCTCCAGATCAACACCCTCATATTAAGTGGGGAGGCAACTCAGATCCAGAGGGTATGGGCCAGCAGCCCCGAGGAGACCCCATTCATGCTTTTATGCTGAATAGTCACTGCAGAACCTTAACTCAAGAATATGGCATAGGCTGGCTGGTTAGCTCAGTTGGTTAGAGCATGGTGTTATAACACCAAGGTCAATGCTTTGGATCCCCATACCGGCCAGCCACCAAAACAAACAAAACAAAACAAGAACATGGTATAGAGCCCAGGCTCTGGACTCGCAGCCCAGGGTTCCTTCCTGTGACCAGAGCTTCCTCCCCAAAGAATCTAAGCCCCAGGGCCGGCCCGTGGCTCACTCGGGAGAGTGCGGTGCTGATAACACCAAGGCCACGGGTTCGGATCCTATATAGGGATGACCGGTTTGCTCACTGGCTGAGCGTGGTGCTGACAACACCAAGCCAAGAGTTGACATCCCCTTACCGGTCATCTTTTTTAAAAAAAAAAAAAAGAATCTAAGCCCCAGAACCCTAACTCCCAAAACTAGTACTGTTAACCCCATGCTCCTCCTTGATCTCTGCACTCTAGCGGCCCTCTTTGTTCACGTTTTCCATGCCTCCTCCTCAAGCAAGGTATGCTCAGAACAACACACCTGTCACAGAAGGTTCTACCTCCAGCCTGCCTGATGTGGGAGGCTGGGTTCTTCCTGTTGGGCCAGGCTGTTCCCCGATAGTCGCCACTACAATACAAAGTACTGTAGTCCATGTCAAGATCAGCAGAGAAGGGCTTCTGGTTGGCAGAGGTCACATTGCATTGGGTAGATCACAGAGAGGTTCCTGGAAACAACGTTTGATGGAGGCCTTAAAGGCCGGAGAGGATCTGGCAGGAAGAAACAGGAGAGAGCAGCAACTCTGACAGAGGCAGGAGGGCAGAGGTGTGTCTGAGGGACAGCAGGGAGCATCTCAGACTGAAACAAAAGTGTGTGGAGGGGGTGAGTGGCAGCCCAGTCCACAAGGGATGCTGGGATGAGAGGGGATAGACCTTAAATGCAAGTCAGTGGGACTGGGCTGACTCCTGAAGGAACAGGGGAGCCATTGTAGATTCTTGAGCAGGAGTGCAACATACCTAGCAGGGAGGAAGAATTGTGAGGCAGGGGTCGGGGATAGAGAAAAAGTGGGGGTGGGAAGGAAGGACTCTCTTTCAGTAAACAGCTCGGAGGAATTTGCGAGGCTATTTATCTAGGATTTATATTATCAGATTAACTAGCTGTTTCACAGTGGCTGGAGACAGGTAAGTCTCAGTGGAGGAAGAAGGGGAAGGAGGCAGCCACAGAACCTGGGAGGGGCAGACGCGGGAGAGTTTCTTACTTAGACTCTTGGGTAATTCCAGATGGAGGGAGGGGGTTTTTCCCGCTGGGCGAATGTGTTCTTTGTGCTTTCCTGGGCAGCCTCTGCAGCAGTCCACACCTTGTCCTGACAGCAGTTGGGAGACTTTGGCCTAGAAACCAGAGACTTGGGTTCAAGTCCCAACTCTGCATATGCTTGCATGTGACTGCCTCTTTCCCTCAGGTTCCTCAATAAATCACCTGACCCGCCTACCTTACAGTATTGTCCTGCCCTTAAGTGAGAAGCTAGATCTGAAAGTGCCTTGTAAATTGTGAAGTGCTGGACCAACATAAGGGGCTGTTCTATTTTCCTTTGAGTAGGCTCTACCCTATAAAGAACATCCTGCCCCTGGAAAGGTCTTAAATAAAGATCTTAGCCATATATCCAATATGGAAGGCAGTCATGCCCTGCCCCAAGCCAGAAGCCAATGAGTCTTTAACTAGGGCAGGACTGCTGGGACAGCCTGAAAACTCTTTGCAGAGGTGGGGGCTGGGGGCCTTCCAGTCACAGGACCGGACCCTCGACTGTCACTCTGTACCCAGCAGCCACAGACTCCTGGGCCTAGCTCTGCATTTATTTCAGGCAGCAAAGGCAGAGCATGACTGAGTACATTCCATATGCCGGGCACTGGGCACTCCATCTCTGTCATATCACTAATGATCTGGGGCAAGCCATGCCGTCTTTGGGCCTCAGTTTCCCCAGCTGTTAAATGAGGTGAGCTGCATGATCCCTGAATGATCTATGTTTATCTTTCCCTCCAAGGGCTCTCCCAGCACCTGGATCTGTATTGGAGCATTTCTTGCATTCATTTGTTCAGCATACATTTATTAACAATCCCTTTCTGCAGGAGGCTGTGCTGGAGGCAGTGGGCTTGTGAGTATTTAGAAGTGAATAAAATAGGGCCCTGATCTCAAAGATCTCATAGGCTGGTAGGGCTGATGCTACTAAGCAGGGCCACATCAAGGCTCTGAGGGTCCTCCCTGCCTACTCCTTCTCTCTCTACCTCTCTGGTTGTAGCCACACTTCCCACCAACCACCAAAACTTTGCTCGTGCCAAAGTGTTGCTCATTCCTGACAACACAGAGAATGAATGAGCCTCCCTTCCATGTCTCTTCCACACCACATGTTAAGGCCCAGACCAAATGCCACTTCCCCCTTGAAGCCTTCTCGGATTCTTCCAACTCAAAGCAAATTCTTCCCCTTTTAAGCTCTCAGATGCTTGCTGCCTCTCCTTGGGACATTTATCTTGGTCTTGTATTCTACCTGACAGTGCCCATTTCTTATCTTTGGAAGGGCAGGCTGGTGTTGGATGCATTTCTAGGTCCCAGAACAGTGCCTATGGCCTGGCTCACAGGAGAAAGAATGGCTCAAGGTGCTACCATGGAGGGAGAATTAAAGTGGCAGGGGACGCAGGCAGAAGGGAAAGGCTGTTAAGCTCCGAAAAGAGGAAATGGCTTCACTGAAGGGACAGAGACTGGGGTCTGGACAGTCAGGTGGCACAGACTGGAGAGGAGGCTGCTGGGCTGTATCTGCTGGAGCATCCATCCTGTAAGTCAGACTTGCAGCTACATGGGAACCCACAGCTCTGGCCCCTGGGCAAGAGCCGGGGAAGCAGATAAACTGAGAGCAGGCCTGCTTTCACTGGGCCATTGCTTTCACAGTGGTTTCCTCCATGTCTACCCTCCATCCACACCCAGAGGCTGAAGCCTAGCCAGGCAGGCAGCAAAGGGGGGCTGCGCAGGAGACTCGGAAGTGGTTACAAGATGTGACCCCTGTTCTAGGCTCTGCACTAAGTGAATTATGTATTAGCTCACTTTAGCTTCTTGCTGACTTGAAGTCCAGATTTCACCCGCATTTGGAGAATGAAGAAGCTGGGATTCAGGGAGGGGAAGTGGTTTGCTGAAGTCTCATAGAAAGAAGTGGAGGATGGATGTGGGATTCAAACTGAAGTCTTCTGATTTCCAGAGAGGAAGCACTCCTCCACGTAGCGAGGTGTAAGCACGTAGGCATAGCTCTTGGAGAGCAGGGAAGGTGAGAGGCACAGGACAGGCCCTGGGTGGAGAGAGAGGGGTCTGTGTTTCCTTGCCCCTCAGCCTGGAGCCCTGTTCTTCACCCTGCCTTCTCCCCAGGTGGAGGTGAAAGGCTGTCAACACTGAAAGGCCCGGAGCTGGGGCTAGCAGCAGTCATCATAAACGGATGGCAGGACAAGAAGGAGGAAGGCAGGGCCCCAAAGAGGAATGGTCAATACCACAGTTCCCAGGGACAGTGTGATGGCTAGGTTAAGGGACATCACAACACACAGCGGCACCAGGCAAGCTCTCTACCGTCTTTGGAGGAGGGGAGAGGTCCTGCACTAAGGGGTCCTGATCTTAGAAGAGCTCTGCACCTTTCAATATCTTCGGTGTTCACATGGGAAACAGGTCCAGAGAGCTCAGGTGTCTCGCCCAAGGTCACACTGTGAACTAAAGGTAAATGTGGGACCCAAACTCAGTCTTTCTGCTCTTCTGATGACCACCCGCCTCAGTCCCGGTGGCCACTCCTGCTCGCCTTGTGCCTAGGCCCCCGACTTCGGGAGGGCGGAGGGGGCGCGCGTCAGAGCCTTCAGCGACTCAGCGTATCTCTCGCTACCCCGCCCCTCGGGTCCTTTAAGAGGCGGGGCTTGGCCGCCAGCCCCGTGGCCCGGGCTAAAGGCTGGGACTTTACTCCCGCGCGGGCGAAGGAGTCCGTGCTCCATCGGCTGCCGCAACCGCCGCGCCCGAGCCTGAGCCACGATGAGCGGCAGAGTCGGAGATCTGAGCTCCAAACAGAAGGAGGCACTGGCCCAGGTGAGTCCTCATCCCGCCCGGAGCTGTGGCCATCGCTCTCCAGAGAGCGAGACTCGGAGGGGCTGGGTGGGGGCGAGGGACTGTCTGCGGTGGGCGGAGGGAGCAGCCGCGGGTCACCCCTGCCTGGGCCTCACCCCGCAGACGGCTGCTGCTTCCCCCCGCCCGCCTAGGGGTCCCCGGGAAGTTTGGCCATCCGCGCCCCAGCCCCGAGCAGCCCTGGTGGTGCCACCTGGGAAGAAGTGGTTGCTTGGAAGCTCTCGGAGGCCGCTGAGGGCACAAAGGCAACATTCATCCTCGGGCCTGGCAGCTGTGCCCAGGGGCAGGGGCAAGGCCCCAAGTTTCCTCCCATTTCCGGGAGGTTTTCCTCTTGCTCGAGCAGTGGCACGGTGGACAAGGCCCTGGACAGCTCCTTAGGATACTTGGATAGCCCCTGACCCGGCACCAAGTCGCTGTACGACCTTGGGCAAAACCCTGTCCTTCTCTGTTTGCTCCTTGATGAAATGAAATGAGGAGGTTGGACCAGATGATGTTGAAGGGAGAGCCAGCGTGTGCGAATTCCAACCCCCACCCCCACCACCCCTTTGACTCACTGGATTGGGGTTAGTTTGAGCTGAGACCAGTCCTCCCCTGTCTTGCAATCCAGACCCCTGCCTGGCTTGGAATTTAGGCTGATGCTCCTCAGAAGGCAGAGATAAGCTGGCTTTGCCTTGGCACCTGGGCAGAGGAGGCAGGAGCAGTAGTTTGAGGGCTGGTTTGAGTAGTTTCAAATGCCCTCCCCAACATCTGAATCTCCTCTTCTCCCCCGCCTTTGGGGACAGGGGAGGTCGGCTGTTCTCCTTTCCAAAGCCAGTTTGGTCCAGCCCCACGGTTTGGACGCTCCACAGCTGGGCAGTTTTCCATTGCTGGAGGGGGTTGGGGCAGGGATGCAGATGTCTCCTGCCATGGCAGCAGTGGGGAGGCACTGGCCTCATGTAGGCTTTGTCCCAGGCTGGGCCTCCCTCATCGCGGGAAGGCTGGATAGGGAGGCTTCAGATTTTACTGCTGACCTGCAAAGCAAGTCAGGCAGAGAAGGGATTAGGTGGTATTAAGCTGGAGACCAGGGGATGGGTAGGGTCTTTGGTGAGGGGTGGCTTCATGTCTGCAGTGAGGAGGAGCAGTTTCTCTGGAGCACTGGGAGCTGCTTTGGGGGTGGGATGGTCTGAGTCCTTGGCTGACCTAGGCAAGGGGCAGAGGTGGCTGGTCCCCATTGGTCCGCTCTGGGGCTGTCCTGTAGGTCAGCGACCAGGGAAAGGTGAGTGGTTGGGAACAGGAGACTCCGAGAGGGCACATGGGGGCCTGCTTTCCTACAGGGTAGTCAGAGATTGGAGGTGGGTGTGGCTGTCCCTTGGAGTCACTGTCCCCTTCCCTTGTTTGGCACTACCTGCACTTTCCCCTTTCATGGCTTCCTGATGGAACTGTTCCCTCGACCTGGATTGTCCACTTCCCTCTCCCTTTGAAGTCCTTCAAGCCCAGCTCAAGTGCCATTTTGTATATGTAGCCATATGAGACCACTCTCTTCCTTCCCTCTGCTCCCCCAGCACCACAGTGGAAAGAGAGTGTGCTCTGGACTCAGACAGACCTGGCTTTGCATCCAAGCTCTGCTAATTACCAGCGGTGTGACCTTGGACATGTTACTTAGCCTCTGTGAGCTTTAATTCCTTCATCTATAAAATGGGGACAGTAATACCTCTAGAGACTTTGAGTAAGGAATGAGTAGGATACAGTGCCAAGATCAATGCTGGGCACATGGGGCATGTAAACTGACAACTTTTACTGTGGTACGTGCCAAAGTGCCTACTCTCACAGTTATCTGGGAACACATCTGCTTGCTCGCCAGACTGGTGTGTAGAAGTGCTCGCAGAGAGGCAGGGGCAGGGGGCTTACTCCCTTCTCCCTCATCCCCTGCTACCTGGCACCCCCTGGCAGGACAGAGTGCCCCATGCAGCCTGAGTGCTCGGCCAGTGGCTGCAGAGTTGAGCCGTCTTAAAGAGAGATCCAGCAAAGGCCCCTATGGAAAGTCCTGGGCAGAGGGCAGTCAGGTGGGACCATCCACTCACCCAGCTGCCTCTCCCTACAGTTTCGGGAGAATGTCCAGGATGTGCTGCCCACCCTGCCGAATCCAGATGACTATTTTCTCCTGCGCTGGCTCCGAGGTGAGGGAAGAGGGGCTGCGGGAGTCTGGGGCAGGGGATCAGTCTGGGTAACAGAATGGCGTCCTCTGGAAACCCTGCCCCTGGCAATCTGAGAATCTAGAGTGTTCAACGTTTAGAGCCCAAAGGGCTCTTGGTGATTACATAACCTCACCCATTCTATTGGATAGATAGACACTCAGAGAGGTGAAATGACTTGCCCCAGGTCATACTGTGAGCAAGCCGGAGGCAGAGAGAAGACCAGAGTGCAGGTCTGCTGACTCTCAGCCCTGCGCCCTTTCAGTCCCCTCGATAAATCTTTGCTGATGGACGTGGGGAAATGGGCTGAGGAAAAGCCCAGAAAGGCCCTACCCACGTGGGAAGGTGAAGGCAGAGCTGAGTTTAAAACCAGAGCCCTGGCCCCTGGGAGAGGCTGGCCCTCTCTTGTCCTGTTGGGATGGCAGGCCGCCTGCTGCCAGCAATTTAGGCAGCTTGAAGGAGGGGGTAATGTGCTTGGGGAATGGAATATGGGGAGCTCAGCCCGAACCACATTGATAAAACTCTCCTCAAACCACCGCCAGGCTCCAGAACCCCAAGTTCTGCTCTGGCCTGGCTGTGGCACCTAGGCCAGGGACAGACACTTCCCCTAGGCTCCTCCTCTGGGAGGGCAGATGAGACAGGATGCCCTGCTTGTTACAAGACATGACATAACAGAGCTCTGTGTGGTGATGACATGCACACGTTTCTACTAGCATCATGGCCAAACTCAGCCCCGTCCGCCAACTCCTGAAATCTTTCCTTTTTTCCCCTCCTCTCCAGTCTTGTGATTCGAATCATGTGCCACCCTCCCTAGTTCTTCTGACACACTTTTTTGTTTCTGTATAGAAACTTTATTACCAGACACAGAAATAATAAAGAAAATTCCATTGTGTTAGATTATAGAGCTTAAATTGTGGTGTAGAATCATATCCCCAAATACTAAAAATCATGCCCTATTACTTACTTACGGACACATACACACACATGCGTGCCTTAGGAGTCTTGGGACAAGTGAAGAGATATATTTTCTTTTTCTTTCCAGAAATCTAATAGAGCTGGTGTGCTCTTGAGGGACTGCTAGCAAACACCTGGGGGCAGGTGCATCCAGGAGAGCCACGTGGGGCCTCATGTGCCTCTGAAAGTGTCATTTGCCCTTTTTCCCAAAAAAGCTTCTATCCTCCCCCCCGACCAAGCCTGCCCAAAGAGGGTGGAGGGGAAGCATGGAGGTGGCAGTGGAGTCAGTCCAGGCTGGAGGAAATTTTGGCCCAGCATTTGCTGAAAGGCTTTAGCTAGAAGTGGGTGGGTGGAGAGAGTGGGAGGACACTGGCCTCCTTAAAGGACCAGCTGCAAGATGATCAAACTATAGAGCTGCTGTTAGGTGAAGAGTGGTTTCAGGGAGTCGTTGAACAGCAACGCAGCTCTCTTTTATCTAGGAAGAGGCTGGCCTGGGGTCCTGGCAGCTTGTCTCCCAGGCACTCCCTATTCCTGACTTCTGGGGTAACCTCCTCTCTGCATGAGGCTTGAGAGCTCGCCATTACACTTATCAGGCACATCCTACCCCCTCCCAGGAATACAAAGTGTGGGCATCGTCATTTGCCAGATGAGAAGTGAGGCTCAGAGAGGGGAGGGGACTTACCTGAGGTGCACAGGTAATGTGAGGCAGAATCAGGGCAGAACCTAGGGCTCCAGCACCCTTTCCAGGAAGATACAGATGCCCCTGAAGCCAAGCACAGCCTCTTAAAACAGAGAAAGTTTCATTTGTTCCTCACATTTCCTAGGCAGGAGCTTAGGCCTGGTCAGACCCTATTATGAATTTCAATTAGGGTTTTGTTGCCTTTTTTTTTAAATAAAAAAAAAGAAGATGACCAGTAAGGGGATCTTAACCCTTAACTTGGTGTTGTCAGCACCACGCTCTCCCAAGTGAGCTAACTGGCCATCTCTATATAGGGATCCAAACCTGTGGCCTTGATATTATCAGTACCACACTCTCCCAAGTGAGCCATGGGCTGGCTCCTTGTTGCCTTTTTTTTTTTTTTTTGTCTTTTTGGTGACTGGCCGCACCGTGCTCAGCCAGTGAGCGCACCAGCAATCCCTATATAGGATCCAAACCCACGGCGGGAGCGCTGCTGCGCTCCCAGCGCCGCACTCTCCCGAGTGCGCCACGGGGTCGGCCCCTTGTTGCCTTTTTTAAAAAAAAATTTTTTCTCTCTTTTTTATGGCGGCTGGCTGATACTGGGAAATAAACCCTTGACGTTACAAGGCCATGCTCTAACCAACGGAGCTAACCAGCCAGCCCTCTCTTTGATTCTAAAGGAGACATTTGCAAGCCATGCACCAACAGAATGTCTTTCTCTAACCCAGATGTGAGCTCCAGGTTCCTCTCCTTCCCTCTTTCCCCCATGTGGGGTTCAGTTTTCTGCCAGCCCCAGGACTGAGAGCAGGTATACAAGACCCCACAAACTCCCCCTGACTGGGGCTGAGCTTTTGGCACCCCAGCAAGGAGGGTCAGATAAAAGATAAAATAAGGAAGTGGTGGAAACCCTGTGAGGGAGGCAGAGCAGCTCTGTCTATGCATTTTACAGGACTAGGGAGCGGGCAAACAAGAACCCAGGACATCTGCTCCTAGGCCAGGTTCTCTCGCAGTGGCCCAAGCCATGCTTTGAGCTGCCCCTGACCATGGCAGCAGGAGCCCTGGAGAGGCCTCACTCAGCAGGTGCGGGGAGCATGAGGTGTGGGACTGCCAGGACCAAGTGGCAACTCGGGGAAAACCCTTGCAGAAGACCCTTGATGTTGGATCCTGGAAGATAAGGGTTAACTGGAGAGCCTCCCCCTGAGGTAAGGGGGCTCACAGTTAACCACCGCTCCTGTTTCCTAGGAAGATCAGGGCTTTCCTCACAGGAGGGGTGTCCTTCCTATGGAAGACTCCCATTTTCATGGTCTAACTCCCCCATCATGACAGGATGTCGCCTTGCATCTTCCAAGTGTTTCTAGCTTATTAGATGATTCAGAGATGTGCAGTGTCTTGTCCAAGGTCAAAAAGAGAAGGTAGAAGAGCTGGAATGCAAACCCAAGTTATATTCCTCTAAAAGCTGCCCCATGCTGCCATGAATGCTTGTGAAGGGCGGTAGTCGAAAGGAACTTCCCAAGAGTGATGGCTGCTCAGCTTTGCCAGTGTCCAGCACCGATGATGGACACAGCATTGGCCAAATATCTTGAAGCACCTGCTGGGCCCAGGAGAGAGAACTGGATTTCATGACAGCAGAATCAGGGAATGTTCTCGGCTACTCCCAGAGATCAACAACTAAGGGACCGGTGACAGTCCAGAGGGCAGCCTGCCTGGCCCAGGTTCCAGGGCTGTCAGCAGATCCATATGCCAATCACATTCACAGAGAACATGCAGCTGGGAGGGACAGTTCATAGGTCAGATGGCAAAATTGGTTCGAATCTGGACCTCAAAAACCTTTTAAAGGATGAAATGAAGCTGATGTAAAGAGATGAAATTTGATAGAAAAGGATCTAAAGTTCCACCTCTCCACATATGGAATGGAGGCTTAGTAGAAACAGAGGTGAAAAGGATTTGGGCGGGGGTGGGGGTGGGGTTTAAGTTGACTATAAGCTTCACCTGAGTTAAGGGTGTGACTGTTGCCAAAAAGTTCTCAGACAACACTGGTGCCTTGCTGGGCTCCAGACAGCACACTCTAAGAGGGGCACTGGCAAACTGGAAAACATTCAAAGGGGAGTTATTTGGATGGACTTGAAACCACGCTGTGAGGAATTGTTAAAGGTTCCAAGGATGGGCAACATGATAGTAGAGCAGACTCAGGTGACAACATAGAATTTGCCAGTATCAGAAGGGTTCTCATGTGGTTGAGGAAGCAACCCTACTCTCTGATAGTCTCTGGAGTGGATCTGAGCTCAATATAATAGTGAGAAGTGAGTGTAAATGGCAGCTGTGATTACCTGGGAGCAGGTGAGCAGGACAACTTGTTGGGTGAGGTTCATTGATAAAATAGAGTTGGCCCACATGAATCTGAATTCTGAAACTTTTCAGGAGGGCCCTTTGTGTTCCTTTAGGGTATGCGTGGGTCCCTTGAGGACATAAGGTTAACTGGAGTCTTGTCAACCCCTCTATTCCTCTGGGATGTTCTGCTGGCTCCGCCCCAGATAACAGGGAAGCTATGTTCATCTTTCAACTGTGGATCAAGTTCTCAGGACTGGATGTTAGACTGTGGAGGAAATAAACTTTGTGTAAAGGGGAATACCAAATGATAGAGGATGTCCAGGGTTCACTTTCCCTGAGAGGAGACATGACCCTTCATCTGGTTGCATTCTGTAGATTAAAAACTCTTTTGACCCTGAAGTTGCATTGCTGCCCCCAACTGCCCTGAACCTTGACCTGCTCTCCCTACAAACTTGGGGCTGTGGTGTTATAGAAGCCCTCAGTGAAGGTCCTCATATTCTCTTCTGCATGTGGGATGATCTGAGAGTCAGCTGGGGAGACGACTAAGAGGAACTGGCCCCACCATGGGAATGGGGAAATCTCCCCATCATTGGACACCCAGTCTGCTGGCCTAACCCTGAACACATTTCCCTGTTACAGCAAGAAGCTTTGACCTGCAGAAGTCAGAGGCCATGCTCCGGAAGGTGAGATCCATTTGGCTCCAAATCCCGCTGTTGCGCTGTTGCCTTAGTTCCTCCCCATCAGAATCACACCTTGCTTGGACTTCTTTTGCCCACCCCTACCCACCCTGATTGTAGCTTTTGGCTTGTGTGGCATAGCTGAGTAGTAGCTGACCACCGTTGCCTTATTCATCTGGGACAAAGTGCAATCTCTTCCCTGGAAACACAGAGCTTTCATAGTTCTGGGCCAGTCAGAAGTGATAATCTGTTCTGCTGAGACCTCTAAAACAGGCAGGGCCTTCTTTTCCATTCCTGCCTATTGCCTTCTAGCAACTATTAGATTATTGACTTCTAGTCTGATGGTCTGTTCATGTTGTCACTTATTGCTAGATGCCTATTAAGCCACCCCACTCCTGCTTTTTAAAATTCCTGATTATATATTTGCAGCATGTGGAGTTCCGAAAGCAAAAGGACATTGACAACATCACTAGCTGGCAGCCTCCAGAGGTGAGGACAAATTATCTTGCCCCCTCCCTATGTTAGTCCTATTAGACCCATGGCCTGTGTCCTGAGTCTGTTGGACTGTGACTCTCAGAGAAGAGGTTCAAGGCCAGTGAGCCTTGATGGTTCCCAGAATGGCTATCCATTGGCACCCAGGGGAGGGATGTGGAAGGAGATACTGGGGAACCTATAGTAAATGACCCAGGAATGTGTGGATGCCATGGGCCTGTTGACTAGGTGTCTCCTCTACGTCTTTGCTCAGGTGGTTCAACAGTATCTGTCAGGGGGCATGTGTGGCTATGACTTGGATGGCTGCCCAGTCTGGTACGATATCATTGGACCTCTGGATGCCAAGGGTCTGCTGTTCTCAGCCACCAAACAGGACCTGCTCAAGACCAAGATGCGGGACTGTGAGCTGCTTCTGCAGGAGTGTGCTCGCCAGACCACAAAGGTGACTGGACTACTGTGGTTGAAAATAAGTTGACCATGATAAAGGCATTGAAGCGGAAGTAGGGACATCACATAGAGATTTAAGCACAGCTTCAGGGTAAGGCCCAAACTTTTAGATTTCCTAGACTAGTGAAGTTCAAAGTTTTAGAGGCTGACATAATGTTGCCGAATTTTTATTTTGCCAAGTAAGGACTTATAAAAAAAAAAGATTATCCATTATTGCCATAATTAAAACCCAAATCTGTACGAATGGCATAATCTCGGGATAAAAGGCAGTCTTTTTTTTTTTTAATTTAATTTTATTTTGTCAATATACAATGTGGTTGATTATTGTGGCCCATTACCGAAACCTCCCCCCTCCCTCTCCCCCCTCCCTCCCAACAACCTCACATCTGTTCACTTGTCATATCAACTTCAAGGAATTGTAATTTATTTGTGTATTTATTTATTTATTTTTAGCTCTCACAAATAAGTGAGAACATGTGCTATTTCTCTTTCTGTGCCTGACTCATTTCACTTAATATAATTCTCTCTAGGTCCATCCATGTTGTTGCAAATGGCAGTATTTCATGTTTTTTTTTATAGCAGAGTAGTATTCCATTTTGTAGATATACCACATTTTCCATATCCACTCATCTGATGATGGACATTAAGGCTGGTTCCAACTCTTAGCAGTGGGATAGCTGGGTCATATGGTAGATTTATCTGCAATTTTTTGAGGAACCTCCATACCATTTTCCATAGAGGCTGCACCATTTTGCAGTCCCACCAACAATGTATGAGAGTTCCTTTTTCTCTGCAACCTCGCCAGCATTTATCATTCACAGTCTTTTGGATATTAGCCATCCTAACTGGGGTGAGATGGTATCTCAGTGTGGTTTTGATTTGCATTTCCCAAATGCTGAGTGATGTTGAGCATTTTTTCATGTGTCTGTTGGCCATTCGTATATCTTCCTTTGAGAAATGCCTATTTAGCTCTTTTGCCCATTTTTGAAATGGGTTACTTGCTTTTTTGTTGTAAAGTTGTTTGAGTTCCTTGTATATTCTGGATATTAATCCTTTGTCAGATGTATATTTTGCAAATATTTTCTCCCACTCTGTTGGTTGTCTTTTAACTCTGTTAATTGTTTCTTTTGCTGTGCAGAAGCTCTTTAGTTTGATATAATCCCATTTGTTTATTTTTCCTCTGGTTGCCCGTGCTTTTGGGGTCGTGCCCAGTCCTACTTCCTGAAGTGTATCTCCTATGTTTTCTTTAAGAAGTTTTATTGTTTCAGGGTGAAAAAGGCAGTCTTTTTTTTTTTTTTTTTTTTTTTTTTTTTAAAGATGACTGGTAAGGGGATCTCAACCCTTGGCTTGGTGTTGTCAACACCATGTTCAGCCAGTGAGCCAACCAGCCATCCCTATATAGGATCTGAACCCGTGGCCTTGGTGTTATCAGCACCGCACTCTCCTGAGTGAGCCACGGGCCAGCCCAAAAAGGCAGTGTTTTAAACTGAATACTTCCAGCTTCATGAAAAACTCACTACATTATTGTTATTTTTCTCATTTATCTGGGAGCCAGTGAAATCTTTGTCATGGACCAATCCATCCTTGCACAAATATTTGGGTACTGCTCGTGTAGATGATCTCAGATTCTGTGATTCTCTAACTCTGTATTCAAAAAAGATAGATAGCTGATTCCTTTACTGACAAAAAAGACTGAAGAACAAGCTGGAGCCACCACTGTGGTCTTCTCTTTCCTTCCTCTCAGCAGTTGTAAAGATCCAGTGAAATGATGTGATAAAGCTCGGTAATGTTTTGACACTCATCCACAAATGTTCACTGAGAGCCTACTGTGTGCACAAACCCTGGGGGGCTGGCTGCAAGAAGCATTAGATGTAGATGCACCCGGAAGGGCTTAGTTTGGATAGAGAGAGAAGTGGCCACACAGGAGCTACATGGGTGCTGCCTACAGTGATCAGAGAAAAGGGAAGCTGCCAGGCCAAACTGCAGAGCAGAGGGACCTCAGATGTAATCTAGATCCACACAGTTGTTTCCTGGATGAGAACATGGACACCTAGGCAGAAAGAGTGACATGCCTAGGCTACAAGTCAAGCCTGGGCTGATTATCTTGATCTGGAAAACCTAGGTCCAGCCCTGACCTGACCTGCTTGCTCCAGGTGCATGGCGCAGTCAGCCTTTGCCCTGAACCTGGGTGGGCTTCTGTAGTGGGGCAGCTTCATATGGCTTCCTGCTCTCTGTTCCTTGCAGCTGGGGAAGAAGGTGGAGACCATCACCATGATTTATGACTGTGAGGGGCTTGGCCTCAAGCATCTCTGGAAGCCTGCTGTGGAAGCTTATGGAGAGGTGAGGGGCATGGGTAAGGAGGAGGAGTGGGTGGGGTGAGTGGGCCCCTCTGCCAGGCTGCCCTGTGGGATGGGTGAGGCAACGGAGGCAGAGTCTGGTCTGGAGGAAGCAGGACCTCTCTCCCTGACATAGAGGTCTGAGCCTGCTGGCATCAGAGTGATTTTGTTTCCACAGTTTCTCTGCATGTTTGAGGAAAATTATCCTGAAACACTGAAGCGTCTTTTTGTTGTTAAAGGTAAGTTGGGAATTTCCTGTGATGAAGCCAAATGGGAACGAGGGGCTAAAAATATTACTGGAGCAGATTGAGGAGAGTCAAACAGAGTGAGCTAAAGGAGGAGTCTGAGGACATATTCGGAAGACTGACCCTTGACATATGCAGACCACTTTACAATTGACAGAGCTTTTAGTATCTGTTAGCTCCTTTGAGTCACCCAGCCCAATGAGATCAGAAGAGATATTTGACTATACCCACTGTACAGATGAAGAAGCCAGACCTTAACAAGATGCCTGTCCTGAGCCTCGCACCCTGGGCTGCCCATGTGGGTTCCATAGCACTAGGGAATATGTGGCCCGACATTAGGTGGGGGGCTACAGAGGACATCATTAGAGACAGAGTAGACACTGCTCCTCACATGGCCTGGTCTCTGTTCCAGCCCCCAAGCTGTTTCCTGTGGCCTATAACCTCATTAAACCCTTCCTGAGTGAGGACACTCGTAAGAAGATCATGGTCCTGGGAGGTGAGTGGCTCAGACTCTTCTCAACTCCACAGGATGGTCTGTGACCCAAACTGGGTTGGGCTTTAGAAGTATGACCAGAGCCACCAGGGTGAAGGCTCCCTCTGCTGGTTTGGTAGCAGTGGGACCCAGGACCAAGCTGGGGCAGAGCTAGGGCCTTCCTGTCTGTTTTCATAAGAACTCTTTCTCTCAGACACTGTAAAAGCAAGCACTGGACTCATCAATGTAGATTCAAAGATGAATGAAACCCCAGTCCTTGCCCTCAAGGAGCTTATAATATAACAGAAGAGAGGACCTATGTAGAGAAAGCTATAATACACACAAGAAAAGACACTAGAAAAGGCATAGAGAGGGTGCCACGTAGGTCATAGGAGCAAGGTTGCTTTCAGTTGGGGACAACTAGGAGCAGCTTCATTTGACAAGCACCTACTATGTGCCAGGCTCTGCACTAGATGCCAAATCTACAAAGATGAATAAGACAGAGGCTCTTGAAGAGCTCTCAGCCTCTCAGGGAAGGGACACACAAACAGATATTTATCATGATATAATAGATGTAAGAAAGGGGGAAACCACAAAGGGTGTGGGAGCACTGAGCAGGGGCACTCACCTCACCTGAGCTACAGAGGAGGTGAGGCCTAAGCTGCATGCTGCGGAATGAGTAAGAGTCAGCCAGATGGGGTAAGGCAGGAAGCTGCTGGGCAGAAAGAACAGCATTGAAGAAGTACCTTACACAGCAAGGCACAGGCAGTTGTTATGGAATGAGAGGCAGGTTGTGGCAAGAGATGAGGCTGGAGGACCAGGAGAATCCAGGAGACCATGTTGAAACGCTGGGTCATGACTCTGCAGGCTACTGGGAACCAGAGTTCTTGTCATGGGAGTACTACAATCAGATTTTCATACTGAGACATTGTACTGGCAAGATTGTGAAGGACAGATACCTGTTTGCCCACTGTTGTCCATGCAAGAAGCGTTGCAACCCTGAACTGGGGCAGTGGCAGTATAGGGATAGAGAGGAGAGGATGGATTTAAGACTAATTTAGGAAGAAAAACTGCAGAACTCAAAGGACTGGATGTAGGAATTAAGGGAGAAAGAGAAATCTAGAATGACTCCTTAGTGTCTGGCAGGAATGACTGAGTAGATGATGATTAGTTCAACTGGGGAAAACAACTAGAAGAATAAGCTTGAACAAGCTTGAAGTTGAATTTGAGAAAGAATCTGTGAGATGTACAGATGTTGGGAATACTTGGGGCTGAAGCTAAGGGGAGAACTTCAGTCTGGAGATTTGGGAGTTATCATATAAAGGCATCAGCTAAAACCTTGAGAGTAGATAAAACAGCCCATGGAAGAACAGAGGCTGAACCCTAGGGAATATCCAAGCTGAAGAGCAGGTCGAGAAACAGGAGCCCACTAGGGAGACTGAGAAAAAGTGATTAATGAGGTTGGCAGAGAAGCAGGTCAACAGGGATTGGATATGCAGGGAAGCAGGGAGAACATCAGGGCGCATGGGAAAGTGTGACCCAAAACCCAGCAAGGAGGATGCACAGCAATCAAGCCAGCCAGGGGCAGGCAGGAGTTCAGTTTTGCTTGAAGTGGAGTGGTGGGAGAAAAGGCTAGAAGGGTAGATCGGGATAGGCTCCTGGAAGCCTTGATGCAACCTATGGAGTTGAACTTGGGAGTAGGTAGTAGGGATTCTGAAAGTTTCTGAATGTTTACCTTTAGGGGACACATTAAAAGTGGAGATTTTTTGAGCTGGCTGGTTAGCTCATTTGGTTAGAGCACAGTGTTATAGCACCAAGGTCAAGGGTTCAGATCCCTGTATTGGCTAGCCCCCTCTCGACCCCCCCAAAATGGAAATTTTCCAAATGTGCGCTAGTGAGATTTGGGGGTTGGAGTGAGGACTTCTGGGTTCTAGTCCTAGCTCTGGCAGCAATAAATTCTGCTTCTGGTTGCCTCAGTTACTCTCTCTGTAAGATGGGAAGAATCCTCCTGGCCTTATCCCAACTCTCCAGCTGAACTGGGGGAAGAAATATAAAATCTGAGCAAAAGGCTTTTATGACTTTTGGTTTTTCTGCTGCTGCCACCCACCATGTGCAAGAGGCGCTTTGGTTCCCTGGCAGCAGAGCTGTGTAGGAGGCTCAGTCTGTTCCCTTACCCACACCTAAACTCTTTCAACCAAACCTGCCTCTGGCTGGGAGGGTACAGAGTCTTCAACAGAGGGAAGAAATTCACTCCAGGCTGGTCACTGGAGCTTAGCAGTACAGATTAAATCAAGACCAAGTCACAGACACTGTGTTCCCAAGAGTTACATGGTCTCCAGTCCCTAAACTCTGAGGGCTGGCAAAACTCTAAACAGTCTCTGTGGGTTTCCAGCCAGCACAGCACAGAAGACACTGGGTTGTACCCATGGCTTGGAGCTGCTGCCTTCATATGGTCTACACAGTCAGCATGGAAAGGTTTCCAGTATCAAAATATTGTACTTGGCTGATATTTGTTTACAAATTTGGGTCGGTGGAGAGTGGTTCTCTGCACTGGCTGCACTAGAGTTAAACTCCTAGACAGGAAAGGGCTTGGTTATTTAAAAAAATGAGCCAAAATCTGGCAGCTAAACAGCCGAAAACAGCAGAACAGAAGTGAAACTGTGACTGGGTTATAGCCAAAGGAACCCATTTAAGGAGTCACTCCAGAGGGATACATTCATTCATTAAGTTACCATTAAAGATGATTAGGTGTAGGAGAAAGTGGGGAAGAAGACAAACACAGAGTTTAGCCTGACCAGGTCAGGTCACGTGGATTCAGGCCTTCCTGCTGGCCGCACATGCTGTTGTCTCTGCATGGAATGCCCTTCCCCGCTTTCATTTTCCCCTCCTACTTGTACTGCAATGTTTGTATCACCTTCCTGTAGGTGATAATGTACTCTCATGCATGTAGGGCACTTTACAGTTTACAGAGCTCTCTCAGGTACTTAGTTCATTTCACTCCCACCATAACCCTGCAGGGCAGGAGGAACTAAGCTTAGAATGAGGTGGTGTGCCTAAGGGCACTCAGCTGGTCAGATGCAGTGAGAATAGGAACCCAGGTCTCCTGATTCGTGGTCCAGGGCAGGGCCATCCTCTGGATGATGGCTCTTCCTGATCCCCCTGCAGTACGATGCATACACCATCTGCTCCTGATGCTGGTGTTTGGTGAGGAGAGTAATGGGTGGGTTTTTTTCTGGCTCTTTAGTGTAGACCGCTAGGGCTATGGTGAAGTCTTACCTCATGGTAACCCGTCTTTTTCCGTCCTTCCCTCTCTTGCCAGCAAACTGGAAGGAGGTTTTACTGAAACATATCAGTGCTGACCAGGTGCCTGTAGAATATGGGGGCACCATGACTGACCCTGACGGAAACCCCAAGTGCAAATCCAAGGTATGGGCCACCAGGGGCTGGAGGTGAACAGGGAAGCCTGGTTCAAGTGCATATTCCAGCTCACTCCGTGCTCTACTTCTAGATCAACTATGGGGGTGACATCCCCAAGAAGTATTATGTGCGAGACCAGGTGAAACAGCAGTATGAACACAGTGTGCAAATTTCCCGTGGCTCCTCACACCAAGTGGAGTATGAGATCCTCTTCCCTGGCTGTGTACTCAGGTAGGGTCCTGGGCCTTTCCAGGAGACCTGAGCCTTTTTTCCATAGGTACCAGTGGGTGGGCTGGGGTGGGAGAAGCCCTGGTGCCAGGACCCCAGAAAGGGCACACACAGACAGAATTACATCCAAATGGGTGGATGTCCCCTGCAGGTGGCAGTTCATGTCGGATGGGGCGGACATTGGTTTTGGGATTTTCCTGAAGACCAAGATGGGGGAGCGGCAGAGGGCAGGGGAGATGACAGAGGTGCTGCCCAACCAGAGGTACAATTCCCACCTGGTCCCTGAGGATGGGACCCTCACCTGCAGCGATCCTGGCATCTGTAAGTATCTCTGTCTTGGCAATGCTTTGAAGCCCCTGCCCAGCTTTCTGCCTGTGAGGTGCCTCTTCATCTGTGGATTTAGGCTCTCAGAGTGTTAGAACTAGAAGTGGAACTCCATTAGTTCAACACTCCGCTTGCATAGAGAGGAAAACTAGACTTGCTAAGGTGAAATTACTTGCTCAATGTGACCCAGCTTGTTTAGGTGAAATGACCTGCTCAGGGCAACCCAGATGGTTAACAGTAGGGTGGGGCTCTGACCTGGGAGTCCCAGGTATAGGGGAGTCACAGTCCTAGGTGATCACAGAGGTTCAGAACATCTGCTTTCTGGTCTGGGTCTAACTGGATCTGTGACTATGGCCAGACATTTCCTGGGGATGCTCTTTCCCCAAAGGTCAGAGAGGCAGAACTGGCTGGGAGGGCACAGGATCACAGGGTTAGCAGAGCACTGAAAAGCCCAGCCTTGAGCCCTCTGAGCTTCACTCATCTCCTGGCTGACCAAAAAATGGGCAAAGAATGTGAACAGGTAGTTTACACTAAGACTAAAATGGCAAATAGACATTTGAAGAGATGTTTAACCTCACTAAACTTTGCAATGTTGGTTAAAATTCCCTTTCACTCAGCAATTCTACTTCTTGAAATTTATCCTATAGAAATATTTGCACAAATATACAAAGATATAGGTACAAGAATGTTCCTAGCAGCCTGGAAGACTGGCAAGAAACTAAATGACTATAATAAGGTCTTGTTAAATAAATTATAGTCTGTCCATACGATGGAATACCATATACCCATTCAAGAGAATAACTGACATGTAAGATGTCTGATACATGTTAGATAAAAAAGCATGAAACACAGCATGTATGATATACACTCACTCTGATTAAAAAAAAAGTGTGTACACAAAAAAGAATTCTAAGGAATCTATGCTAATTCTAACAGTGGTTATCGCTGGGGTGGCAGGATGCTTATAGAGGGCTTCTATTTTTTCCACTATTTCTGCAAATATAATACATTTTCCAATGACCGTGTACTATATTTATAAGCAGAAAAATCATACACACACACTCAAATCTCTAGTTTCCCTTCTATTAGAGCCAAGAGGCTGGGGAAAACCATTGAGAGCAAGGCCTTTACCATCAGACCTGGGTTAGACTTGATCACTGATTAGCTGTATGGCCTTAGGCAAGTGACTTTAACCTCCCAGAGCTTCAGTTTCCTGATTGCTACAATGGGGGAATCTTACAGGGATCTTGATGATTAAATGTGATAAGGTCTGTGCAGCACTTAGCATAATGCCTGGCATACAGTAAACACTCAGTACACTGTAGCCACCATTACTGTCATTAGGGGAAGGCCTGGAGCAGAAAGGCCATCCTGGAGATAATGCTGGGAGATGGGAGAAGCCCTGTGCCCCATTTCTGTGGCAGGACCGCCAGGAGATCTGAACTGGCCGCACAGATGTCTTGGCCTCTGTGCTTGTCCAAACCATCACCAAACTTAGATTCTGCCTCCTCCCTCATATTCCAGGCAACCTTCAGTCTCTGACACCCCCTCTTCACAGATGCTCTATGGTACAATATGGCTCCCTGGGTGGGAGAGTATTCTTGTTAGTGAGCAGCCAGGTCCCAGGGGAGAAGGCGTATACTGTCTGCTTCAGCAAGAATAAGGCTTAGCACCAACCCAGACACTGTCACCCACAGAAGATAAAGCACTTCATACATACAAGCTTGAATTTCTTTTTTTAATGGATGGGGAAGGTGAGGTACAGAGAAGGGATGTTATCTCTCCTAAAAAGTAGCTTGTGTAAATACCAAAAGAAAGAAGACACCAGAGAATCCTAGAGTCCTGGTCCAGGATTTCTTGACCATAGACTGTCGAAGAGATGATCAGAACATCTGTCCTTGACGTGTTAAAGAGAGTAGAGTCTCAGACCAGGGAAGTAATTTACCCATGGTTAAGGAGCCAGTAAGAGAGCCCCACCCATTTTTCAGCATTGCCCACTACCCCTTTATCTCCTCTTTAGTATCTGAAGGACATAGCCTAAGAAGGGACCATGAGCTTTTTAACATAATCAGGCTTAGGTTTGCAAATTCCAAATTTATTTTACCTCTTCTTGGATAAATTCCCTGCAGGGCCTTGACTGGAATCTGCTTGTTACCGGTTCCCAGGAGGAACAGAATCAGGCCACAGCATCCATTCCTCCTTCCCAGGTGTATAGACAATGAGGTGGGATCAGCTGTTGTCTGGGGCCATGGCTCAGGTTAGACCTAAGCCCAGAGAGAACTCAGTGTTAGGTTATAAGATCACTTGTGGGAAGGCAATGCCCTTGGAGAATCAGGTGACCCCTGTAAAATGGAACATAATCACCCACTGGAGAAATTAAAACTCTGTGCCAGCCTCCAATGGTGAGAACACATTTCCCCTCCCAGGCTTCTCTGGTCCTCATCCAAGTGTACTAAATTAGTGAGGAGGAGGACCAAAGTTTGAATGTTTTTGCTTTTTTTTTTAGCTTCACAAAGGTTTACTTCTCCTTCACACAGAGTCTGATGTGGGTCCAGGTAACACAGAAATCCAGGTGTCTTAGCTCAGGCTACTGTAACAAATTACCACAGACCGAATGGCTTAACATTTATTTCTTATGGTTCTGGAGGCTGGGAAGTCTAAGATCAAGGCACCGGAAGATTCAGTTCTGTTGAGGGCCCATGTCCTGGTTTGCAGATGGCTATCTTCCTGTGTCTTCACATGCAGAGAAAGAGGAAGCAAGCACTTTCATGTCTCTTTTACAGGACACTAAACTCATTCATGAGGCCACCACCCTCATGACCTAATCACCTGCCAAAGGCCTCACCTCATAATATCATCACATTGGGGGTTAGTATTTCAACATATGAATTTGGGGAGACACAAGAATGTTTTTACTTTTTTTCTCTTGCCTAATATTTACTGAGGGCCTACTATGTATAGAATACCTGACTAGGAACAAAAAGATCCAGAAAAAAGATCTGGACTTTGTCCACCAGGAGTGTGGAAGGTGGTCCAGAAGACCTTAAACACTATAGAAAGGTTCAACAGCACTGCCAAGCCATGCTAGGGTGAAAAAGAGTCCAGGAAGGCACCAGGAGGCCTGGCTTCTGAGTACAGCTTTGCTACCAACTCTCCCCGTGTTTTGAGCAAATGTCTCTAAATAATTAGATTTGGCTTTCTTTCTCCTTAAAACGAGGGGAATGTTTTAGAGTAGATCTTAATCTGCAGTCTGTGGACTTAGAGCAGTCGTTCTAAATTCTAAAGACCAAACACTCCCCTTTTATAACAAATAGTGTCTAATGTCCCCTTACTATTGTAAAATGAAATTTATAGATGATATAACCCACTTATACACATAATTTAAAAACTAATATAATCTATCTGTAATATAAAGAAGAAATAAAGGAAGCTAATTTAGTATATATTTTCAATTCATAAACAAGAAGGCAAGATTACACCCACCTCCCACCCCTTTTCCCCTCTCTTCAGAACAGTACCTTTCTCACTGGGAACTACTGCCCCAGAAGGGTTATGATGGGTTCCAGGGAGTCTGAAATTGTGTGCTTTCATCAGATTCTCAAGTGGGTCAGTTACCCAACAAAAGTTAAGGAGCCTTAGTCTGGAGAATCTCAGGGGGCTCTGTGGGTCCATGATTACTGTCAAAACCAACTAGGCAGACTCTGGAGCTGCAGTGACTCCACTTCCCTTAGGCCTGTGCCTCCGATAAACCCCTTCTTTGTTTCTGAGGGCAGAATATCTTGCGAGGCAGAGCATCTCATTCCTGATACTTGGTACAAGGCACTCAAAGGATCTCTACTCCAGCATGAATGACTGTGGTTGCTAAGGCTCTGTCATCCAAGGCAGAGAGGTGGCTTCACTTTTTCCAGAGTGACTATTGGTCCTGAAAGATCTCTGGTACAGAGAGAAAATCAGTAATTAATACTTACTTCACACCATAAAGGAAGAGTGGGTGGTGTGTCTACCCTTGGTCTAAACTATGCATTTTATTCAGGGTCAGGACAGGGGAAAGTTTAAGTTTTATGATTAAATACACAGTTGTTTTTGTTTTTGTTTTTGCTGGGAAAAATGAGAGAAGACCAGGATAGGGAAGGGGCAGAGCTAGTGTTTTTGTTTTCATACTCAGTTTTCTTGAAGGGGTATTTGACTAAAATGGAACAACTTCTCAAAGAAACAGGGTTATAATAAAAGCAGTCTGTTCCTTTGTCAAGGCTTGGAAGCTTTCTCTGCCAACTTCATGCCCATTTTCTTTTTCCAGAGGAAACCACTCCTAACAGGTCTTGTCTATTATCCTACCAAATATTTCCATCCCTTTAGAAGCATTACACGTTTCCATAATAAACAGAGCATTTATACATACACCTATACATTCACAGGAATTATGTCTGTCATTCAGTGTATGTTTGAAGGTATTTTGAAATTGTAAGACTCATCACAATTTGAGAAAGCTTTCCCTTTAGGGCAAGCACCTGAGTGGTATCAAAGAGAACCTGGTGGCTGACCAGTTAGCTTACTTGGTTAGAGTGTGGTGTTGATAACACCAAGGTCAAGGGTTTGGCCAGCCACGTGGGAGTGTAAGTAGACCAAGCAGTAAAGGCAAAACGTTTTTTAGACATATATTTTAACAAAAATGTTACAAACTATTTACAAACTGTTCTGCAACTTGCTTTTTTGGCCTCAGGATATACTGTGGACAGTTTTCCCAGTCATTTCTATGGCGCTAACCTCTTTTTATTAGAATAGTATTCCATCATATGGATTACAATATAAACTGTTTAGCAGGGCCAGCCCTTGGCTCACTTGGGAGAGTGTGGTGCTGACAACACCAAGTCAAGGGTTAAGATCCCCTTACTGGTTATCTTTAAAAAAAAAAAAAAAACAATTGTTTTAGCAATTCTCTTTTGATAAACATTTGAGTTTCCCCAATCTTTTTTTATTACAAACAGGGATGCAGTGAGCATCCTTGGCCCTTATCTTCCTGCAGTGTAAATCCTTGGTTTAAAAAGTTTGCCCATTTTACCTTTTGTCAGAAACTGAACAAGAGCAGGTGACCAGTTAGCTTCCTTTGGGAGAGTATGGTACTGATAACACCAAGGTCAAGGGTTCAGATCCCCTTACTGGCCAGCTGCCAGAAAAAAAGAAAGAAACTGAACAGGGCCAGACATTTCTATGGCCCAAGTCAGGCAAGACAAAGGCAGTAATGTGGACCAGGGAGAAATACAAGCTCCATCATTTCTTCACTGTGTGACACAAGAGTCACACGACCTCCTTTTTATTGGATATAAAACAAGACTAATGCGGAACTCAGAGTTGTTGTGAGAAAGAGATAACATATAGATTACAAACCCAATGCTGCAATACATAAATAGCTACTATTATTATTATTATTACAAATACTATTGCCGATACTAATTCTACTTTCCCCTTTCAAATCCAAGTTCATGCTCAAACTCCTCTAAAAAGCCTTTTGTATGGTTTTGGTCTACCAGTCCCTTTTCTTCCAAGCTGTTACAGATGTGATTGTCTCTGTCACTCATCTGGCACTTGGCATGTGCTGTCTCATTTTTTTTCCTCTCCATGAACATCCTGTCAACCCAGCTAGACTATGTTTCAGAAGATCAAAGACCATTGCTTATGCTACCTTCATCACCATTACCTACCACACTGCTTTGCTCATTAAATAAAAATCAACAAAAATCACTATTCCTAAGCCCTTTGTCAGAACTGCCTGAATGTCTGGTTTTCTGCCTCCCCTCAGATGTCTTGCGGTTTGACAACACCTACAGCTTCATTCATGCCAAGAAGGTCAGTTTTACTGTGGAGGTCCTGCTTCCAGACAAAGCTTCAGAAGAGAAGATGAAACAGCTGGGAGAAGCCACCCCAAAATAATGCCTCCTCCTACTGCAGGCCTGGCCCTCAGTGTCTCCTTGTCAGTTTCTACCCCTTGTAGCAGTCATTTTCCCACAACCCTGCAGCCCAAAGAAGCTGGGTTGGAGGAGTGACCTCAGGCTGGATCTGGGGAGCTTTCATTTCAGAATTAGGAGGAGGGAGAATGGCTGGAGTGGGTCTCCTGCCTCTCAAATAACTAAGGAGTCCCCAGGGAGCTGGCAACCATGATAGGATCTATCTGTCCTGTAAGCTGTGCCAACCTTACCTGTCCAGTGACACTTAATACAAGGAGCGAGGTACAAAGGATGGCAGCAGGGAAGAAATTTTATAAAGGGTGGGGGTGGGGAAGGGGGAATTGAGACCTAACACTTCAGGGAAGCCAGCTGCAGGGGAGGAACTTGCTCCCAAATGAACATGAGAGTTTAGATCATAATGAGTAGTAGCAAGATAGCTAGTTGCTAGAGTTATGGTGGGGGTGAGAGACTCTTCCAAACTTTTTATCACGAGGCTGGGGTATCTTTTGGCTTTTCCCAGGTCTCAGGAGGTGGCCTGCCTCAGCAACAGATCTTCCCACTCAAGGGTAGACAGGCCTCACCCTCACCTTGAGGATTTTAGCAACTCCTGGGCCTTGCTGCCTCTTTAATTACTTATGATTGATTGTCAGTGACTTCCTGGGACTTTGGTAACCGGCCACTGTTTTCCAATGCAAAAAAAAAAAAAAAAAAAAGCACAAGGGAAATTACCTCCAGGGATCACAGCTCCTGGAAGGGTCAAGGATGCTGGGGTGGGAGTGGGTCCTAAAAGGTGGTGGAGGGGGATTCCAGTCCTCTTTTCAGTGCTACCAGCCTCTCACCAAGTAACCCTACATTTGAGCACCCCAGACAAAAATGACAAGTGGGATCGAGCCAGTAGCACTCAGACAGGGCATTTCCGTCTGAGTCTCCCGCTGTGCGCGCCCACCCGCCTCCAGGCTGACCTGAGCAATGCCTTGGCAGTCCCATCTCTGTGGGAGGCCCATAAGGCCTGGATTCCTCGTGTCTGTCGGCGGGCAGCGTAGCCAGGCCGGGCGGTTGCCTGGGCAGGAGGCCAAAGGCCGGGCCAGCATCTCTCAGAGCCAAGGGCTGCGGGTGACACAGGCAGCCTCGCAACCACGGCACTTAACGCGACCCCATCCAAGCGCCCTGTGAACGAACCCCAGATCCTGGACTGCACAGGACAGGGGAAGGCGGCCCCCTTCCCTCGGAGCCCAGGCCCTGGCCCAGCCTGAGGAGTTCGCCTTGCGAAGCTGAGGGAGGCTGGGGCGGGAGCAGGGCTAGCGCGGACCAGAGGGGGTCGAGGCCGCACGGGCCCCAGCCAGACCACTCAGGGGGACACCCCGGCCTTGGTTTACAACGCTCTGTTAGGAAAATTAGCCAATAAAGCACTGTTTAGTGCGCAGGGAGTGGAATTTAATGCCCGCCGCCCTTCAGAAGCCCAAACTTCCACGGTCTCAGGACCACAGTAGCGGCTTCCCGCCATTAGGGGAACGCATGCGCAGAAGCCGTCTACAACTCTCCTCTCGCGTGAGCATTCCCACGGGTCCTAACGACCAGCTTGCCTCCTGATTGGTCCAGCCGGTGGGTTGTCTTCCGCCATTTTTGCTGACAACCTTTCCGGCGAGGGCGGAGGTCCGGCTCCACACGGCTTCCCAGTAAGCGTCCGGTGGTTCGTGCGCGCTGACTAGCTGCGCCTGAGGTGGGCCCAGAGTGGGAGGGAAGCGGGGGAGCGGCGATCACGTGGTGTTAGGGACCGTCTTCCAATTCCTCCCCAGCACTGTCTGTGTTTCTGGGGCTGGGGATCGCTTTGCAAACCATCCCCCCACCGCCCCACCGCCCCGCAAGGTAACCGCTGACCGGAGTGCCCCGCACAACCGTACAACGACAGCGGCGCCTAGGGCTGAAAACGGGGGCTTCAATAGGAGGTCTGTGGTATTAATTTTATTTGATGATAATAAAAGCTTATTCTTAATGCACACCTACTGGGTTCCACACAAAGTCTCTGTGCTTACCGCCTTGGGTTGTTACAAGGAGTTAAGAAAATAGTAAATGCAAAGCCCTTAGAAGAGAGCCTGGTACCAGTAATCGCTAGATAAATATTGGCTAGCGTCGTTTTTTACAGACGTGAGGACTGAGTCTCAGGGAGGCTAACAGCTCATAGGCGGCACAACTTTTTTTTTTTTTTTTTAAAGATGACCGGTAAGGGGATCTTAACCCTTGACTTGGTGTTGTCAGCACCACGCTCACCCAGTGAGCTAACCGGCCATCCCTATGTGGGATCCGAACCCTTGGCCTTGGTGTTATCAGCACCGCACTCTCCCGAGTGAGCCACAGGGCCGGCCCAGGCGGCACAACTTTGAACCCAGCATTTGAACCCAGAACTGCCTGTCTCCAGTGGTCGCGCCTTTGCCTCGCTGATACCCGCAAAGGATTCACAGAGTTTTATTGAAGTGCATTCGTTGCACACATGGTAAACTGAGGTCCAGTAGCGGAAGGGTTTCCTCCTGTTGGAATCACTAATCTCCAAGTCCCCTCATTCTGTTCTTCTCATTTCCCTGGAATCTTGTACCCTAACCCTGTCTCCCTTGCCCCATTCATTCATTTATTCTACATTCATTCATTCAACATCCTGCCCTTCTGGGAGCATACTGATCCAGTTAGATCTGGGTGCATGATAGGTAAACGTGGCACCCACCGAGAAGGGACTCCAGAGTCGGGGAGCCCACCTCTCCAGGGCGCTCACTGTTCACTCCCCCATACTCATTTTCTCAGCTTGCTTAAGAGCAAGGGATCTGGAGCCATACTGCCTGGATTCAAATCCCGGCTTCACGACTTTACATCTGTGTGTCCTGGGAAAGTGACCCACCTGTACCTTTATTTCCTCTTCTGTAAAACGGGATCCCAGGCTGGTGGGAGGGTTTAAGGAAGTAAGCCGTCTAGAACCATCAGCGAACGTCTCGGCCGGTAGTAAACTCAATAAATGATGACTGTTATAATTAATCCTCTCAACCATCCATCCCAGGGAGTGGACGCTATCATGTCCTCCATTTTACGAATGAAAAAGCGAGGCTCTGAGAAGTATACTCTTGCCTGCGGTCCCGCACCTATGAAGAGTAATATCTCCCAATTTGAACCCCGGCCTCTTTGGCTCCAAAACTACAAGTCAGTCCTGGGAGAGGTTCGCACCAAACGCTCAGAGAAAACGTGAAAATCAATCTGTAAAACCGGAGCCTGGGAAAGGGGCTTCGGTGCGCGGGAGAATTTGCAGACGCTCCCTGCCGGCGGAGATATCTTGACCTGTCCTTCAGCTCGAGACTTTGGGCAGGTCCCGCCTTGGCTGACCCGAGTGCTAGTGGAGGCGGAGGTGTAGGCGGCAGCGGAGGCGGTGCCAGCTGCAGTGGCGGGTGTCGCGGTGGAAGCGTTATGTCGGAACCGCAGCCGCCGGGCGCAGGACGCGACCTCTACCGGGACACGTGGGTGCGATACTTGGGTGAGCGCGGGGCGACAGGCACTGCGACCCCCTCCCTCCCCAACCACAAAGCTGGGGTTGTAGGGGTCGCCGGAAGCCGGTCCAGAGCCTGCAGGAGGCGGGAGGATCTTAGTTCTCATTCTGCTTGGGCAGGAGACTGGGCTCGGAGAGGGCTAGGGACTTGCCCAAGGTCACACGGCACTGGTGGGGGGTCCATCTCTGCCCTTGGGGTCTCTGCTGGTCAATCCTTCCAGGGTAGAAGCTCGAACAGGGTCTGCTGGCTGCCTTCTCTGTCATGCTTGAGCCCTGGCTGTAGAGTCAAGAGTTCTCATCTTGGCCCTGCCATTCCCTGGTTCTGTCTGAGCCTCAGTTTCCTACTCGGCAAAAAGGGATGAACACGAGGACCTCTCTGATTGGGTGGTGGTTGTAGGGGTGGAATGAAATGAGGCACAGAAAGACCTTGCAGTCTCTCTGGCTGCCTGTCACCTCGTTAGTGCAGGTACTCCTAGAACCAAGGCTAGGAAATCTAACCAATGAGCAGTGATGACGGTGACTTTGTGCCAAGCCCTCCCACCGTGCTCTAGAGTCCAGGTGGTCGCCTTTGGCACCAGTTTACAGCCTGGAAGTTGAGGCTGAGAGAGGTAGAGTCATTTGGCTAAGGTCACCCAGCTGCTGTTTAGCAGGGTAGGCTTAGAACCACCTCGCTCCAGCGCCCCCTTGTGTAACAGACATGGGCCTGGGAACTAAATGCCCCCTCCTTCCAGGCTACACCAATGAGGTGGGGGAGGCTTTCCGCTCCCTGGTACCAGCGGCTGTGGTGTGGCTGAGCTATGGTGTGGCCAGCTCTTACGTGCTGGCCGATGCCATTGACAAAGGCAAGAAGGCGGGAGAGGTGAGTGTTCGCTAGCCTCCAATCCCCACCCCGCACCACTTCTCTTGAGTCTGCAGCCTTGCAAGTGGTAAGGCCCCTGTGGGACAGTCCAATCCCCACAAACTTGCCTAGTGCAGTCCACACTCCAGTCCTGTTTGTAGGATAGTGCACCCCCACCCCCACTCCTCAGCTCTGCATGTGGCAGTCTATACCACAATCCCGATGTAGACAAGTCCACCCTCAGTCCTGAAGGTAGTACAGTCCACCCCCAGCGCTGAATGTGGTACAGTCCAGAACCCAGTACTAGGGCAGTTCCGTCTGCCACAGCACTCCCCTACTGCCCACTTGGCCCTCCCTGGTCCAGCCTGATGCCCCTTTTCACAAGATTTCCCGCCTTGCCACAGCTGGATTAAGTGTCTCTGTGCCCACCAGGTGCCGAGCCCTGAAGCAGACCGCAGCACCAGGGTGACCGTGGCCGTGGTGGACACCTTTGTGTGGCAGGCTCTGGCCTCAGTGGCCATCCCAGGCTTCACTATCAACCGTGTGTGTGCTGCCTCTCTCTATGTCCTGGGCACTGCCACCCGCTGGCCTCTGGCTATCCGCAAGTGGACGACCACCACGCTTGGGCTGCTGGCCATCCCCATCATCATCCATCCCATCGACAGGTGAGTGCCCTCTTGGCCTCAGGGATCATCCACTCAACAGGTAGAGTCAGGCTCTGAGAGGGGTGGGGCATGACCATTTTGCTTAGAACAATAAGAGCAAAGGCAGGGCTGGCACTTGGGGCTCCTGAGGTAGACAGTCTGTACCCTTGTCATATGATCTGGCAGGGACTTTGGCAGTAAAGGAATAGGGATGCCTTGAGGGTATGGGATACAGGATAAGTAAATTCTCAGAAAGGAAATCTAGTGTTACAGAACAACCAGAGGCAGGCAGGAGCAGGTGCATCCTGGAGGGGATAGGGATGGATTCTGCTGCTTTCAGGCATGGCTGGATCTAGGCACCTAAAGGATGTCATTAGGAGTCTGTGTCTTCCCATCCTGTTGCCCTTCTCCCCACCCTACCCCACTCGTTGTTGGCCTCACTCACTTTTCCCTCATGGGAGCAGAACTGGCTCCCAGCAGTTTCCAGCTTCCATCCCACCAGCTTAGCAAGCCCCATCAGAAACTTTTTAATACTAACCACAAAAATCCCATGGAAGGCTGTCACCAGTCTATCCCATACTGGGTGCCTACCCTTGAGCCAGTTTCCCTTTTCTGACTGGCCAGGCTTGGGTCATGTGCCTGCTCTTAGAACCAGAGATAGGGTCAACCCAGATCAACATGGAGTGGGAGGAGGAGTCTTTCCCCAGAAGAATGTAACTGACCTTGAGGCCCTGACTGAATCCTTTACCTGCTCTGTGCCTCAGTTTCCCTAACTGAGGGGTAAAGAGGAAGATGGCTGCCATTCTGGGGGTTTGATTATGGCATTCCCAAGTAGCCCAATGTAGGAGGAGAGTGATAAGGAAGGGTTTCCACCTGAATGGCATCTCTATCCTGCAACTAGGAGTCCCTTCCCCTACCCCTGGTCTCCTGTCTCCTATTCCCTCATTAGCACCCCTTGGCCAACTGCTTACACCCTCTCCTCCCTATAGGTCGGTGGACTTCCTCCTGGATTCCAGCCTGCGCAAACTCTACCCATCAGTGGGGAAGCCCAGCTCCTCCTGACCCCAACCCGGTTCCTGGCCTGTGGGTTGGGGCACCACTGCTCTGTGCCAACTTCCCCCTCCTACCAGGGGATGTGGGTGCATGGCTATCTGGGGTTCAAGGCCCTGGCACCTGAGTGGGTTTGAGCTGGACAGACACTTCAAGACAAAAGCCTCAAGGAGCAGCGGCTGCAGCAAGTCACAGATGGAGGAGGGACCTAAATCCCTTCTGCTTCCATGGAACCCATGATATTGAGTAGGAATGGGTCATGGGAGTGTCCAGCCCTGTCTTTGACAGGAAAATAACACCCTCCCATGGAGGATAAGGAGACTGAGGCCCAGAGTGGGCAAGGAAATGCCCAAGATCACTTGGCGAGCTGGGCACCCAGGACCCGCAGCTGTTCTGCTGAATCACCCCAAAGTGGTGTGGCTGGACGAGGAGCAGCAGACACTCAGGGAGAAACGCAGGGATGCAGTAGCTGGGACATCTCAGGACCGCTTCTCCGGCCAGTCCAGTCCTGGTGCAGAGGCTGCTGGGGCCTGGCTGGAAGGCAGGACAGCTCCAAGTCAGGCGTTGGCCAGGCCCTCCCCAGACCCAATAAACCCTCAAGAAGTTGCATTTTCTTCTCCTTTTCTGTTGGGGATAAGCAGGGATGTGGTGGTGAGAGCAGGGCTGGGGGCCCTCAGGGGTGGACCGACTTCTCCGGCCACACATCACTCACAGTGGCCTCCCTACCCTTAAGCACTTCCTGGCGGATGCCTGGGTTCCACCATTGGTGCTGCCAGCATCCTTTGGGGTAGGGATTGCCCTTTTTCTGTGAGCCTCCTAAAGCACCAACCCCTCTGGGAGGGGGGCCTGTTGGGCAGATACCACCTGAGCCTGAAAATGCCCAAGATGGTGATGGCAGTCCTCATATGAGAGTACGTGAGAACCTCCCTTCCACCACCATGAGGGGACTCAGGAGTCCTGGAGAGAAGAGAGGGACCAGGGGGCTGTCTCCCACCCCCTGCTTCCCTAGGATGAGGGCATGGCCTGTTTTCCATATGGCGTCCTCAGCTGCTGGGCCTCGGAGTGGAGTGGTGAGGGGATCCAGTCCTCCCCGATTCTGGGCCAGCCCCTTTCTTTGGCAGCCAACAGCTCAAAGAGTTAGACAGAGGGGAGCACAGGGCTGAAGCAGACCTAGCCCCTCCTCAGCCCCGTCTCAAGCCACAAATCAAGTCCAGCCAAACCCTGGCCCTGTCCCTCACCACCCAGGTGCAGCCAGGTGGCTTAACCCCACCCCGTGGGATGGCCTGTACCTGGGCTGGGACTTATAGGGGCTGCCGGGCCAGGCAGAGGTGTTGCTGGTGAGACAGGACAGGGGGTCTGGGATCATGGCTTCTGTTCTGGAGATGCCTGCAGCTGTGGGGTGAGTGTGATGGCTTCCCCTAGAGCTGGGGTTCCCTGAAGGGGTGGGGTGGGTCATTCTCTATCACCCTTCTCACCCTACACAGGCAAGCTCCCCTTCCCAAGCCCCCCATGGCATCCTCTGCCCAGTTTCCTACAGCTCCCTGCCAACTCCCTTAAAGGCTCTAAGCTTCCCTCATTTTCTAGCCCTCTCCACCCCTCACCCCCTGCCCAGGCTGACACCCCACATCCTTCTCCAGGCCAGCATTCTCCCAACCCATTTCCTCTCCCCTCCAAGGCCAGGCCACATCCACACCTACATTCCTGTGATGTCTCCTGGGGTCTGCCACCAATTCCTTGCTCACTCTGTACCTCTCACTGTCCAGGTGCTCCCTAAAGCTGAGAGCTGCCCAGGCCAGGTTCAGGCTTTGTGCTCAAGGAGACAGTCTAAGCTCCAGCCCTGCCCCAGCCTTCTCTCCCTCCCCATCACCTGCCCTCCTGTGCCCCGCGTCTCTCCCACAACACACATACTGTTCCTCAGCTGGAAATCCTTTTACTCTCGGCCAACCCCGAGCATCCTTCAGAACCAACTCCAACACCCCTTCCATTGCTGCCCCTTAGCTATGCCCTACTGTGGATCCCCTCTGCCCTTGGTTGCCCATCTGGGGGCCCTGCTTTGTAAAGAACTACTGGAGTGCAAGTGTGCAGATGCTTGGCACATAATAGGTGCTCACATGAGGGGCTTTCAGGTATTCTCAGGCCAGGCGGGTGGGGATAAGGTCTGTGGACAGCCTGTCTGTAGGGGGAGAGACCCCCCCCCCCCCCCCCCCCCC